TAACTTCCATTGTATGGAGGATTGGTTTAAGCTTTATTGATAGCAAAATAACTAATAAGATATGCAATCGGCTCTAAGGCCATTACAGCATGTTGTACAGGTGCATAAAAAAGTTATCAGTATAAAGAGAAAAGAGAAAGAAGAAAGAAAATCTATAACAATAACAATAGTAATAAATTCAAGAGAAATATATATAAAAATAAAAATAAAAACAGAAGGAAAAAAGAAAAATATAATAGGCCATGTGATGTCGAGCGAATGAGAATGAAAAATAAGAAAGCGGCCAACGGTTGATTTGCCCTTTACCATCTCGGGCTTTTCTCAATAAAGTCACTCACACGATCTATTATCAACTGAGAAGTCTCTGTGTTGCTAGTCGAAATGTTCAACATGGGAAGTTCAATCGACAAATTAATAGAATCTAGATGTTCGATGGCCTCCTTTCGAATTGTATCATACAATTTGCAGTGAAGAAGAAAATGCTCTATTGTCTCCTCGCTATCGTCACCACAGGAGCACAAAGGCGAATTGATGTAACTCCGTTCATATAAATAGGAATTCAGCTGCGGGAAAATTACATTTCAAGCGCATGAACATGGTTTCAGACCTTCTGTTTGGAAAAGTGATGTGCTTAGGAAAAACAAGCAGCTCCCTTTTATCAATAAACGATTTTTTCAGCTTGTATTTTATTGTATTAATTTTTAAGACACACAGAGACAGACATGTTATCAAGAAAGCATTCCATTCATCTGTGGCTACCGAAAAAGAATTTCTAACGCGTTCAACTGGTACCAGTCGTCCACTATTTCGTAGATTATACCTCTGATTTTGGTGTCGCTGAATGTAATCAGTTAAATTAGATGCAGTGAAACTGCGTATAATTTTTGCATAAAGTGTCAGACGATTGATGTAAAAGATATCGCATAGTTTTAACCATCCCAAACTAGATAATACTCGTTCAGTTGATGTCTCTTTCATGCAACCTAACACAACAAGATCAGCATGGTACTGAATTATTTCCATCTTTTTGAGATTGTCTTCAGTTGTGATAGAAAAAAGGACAGAGCCATAAATAAATAAATTAAGGACATACGACTTATATATCACATCAAGCGTTTTTCTATTCAACAACCATGAACTGTATTTCATAAGACCGACAACCGAGCTAGCTCGTGAACAAACTTTATTGATGTGAGTTGTCCAACTAAGATCATAAGATAAATTAATACTTAGATACTTTACAATCTCGAATTCTTTGATCGAATTTCCACTAAGAAGAAGAGGAGGCAACTGTAAAGTCCTTGAGCTATACCAACGACTAGAGAACATTATCGATTCGCATTTTTTGAAATTAAGATTCAAGCCCCACGACATGGAGGATTAATTTTCAAAAAGAGTGTGTTCGACTTATTTTGTCCAGGAGGATATATTAAGACTAAACATCATACAAAAATGGATAACATGTCTATTTAGGTCGTACAACATTAATTGTTGCTCATCGTCTCTCGACAATTTCTCATGCTGATCTAATTATTGTTCTTAAAGAAGGTGAAATAGTTGAACGTGGTGGTCATGAATATTTACTTCAACTAAATGGTGTCTATGCTAGTATGTGGAATGAACAATCGACAAGTTATTTGGAGCCAACACTCAATACCGACGAAGTAAAACAAGATGAAGAACCATTAGTAAATCTGGATGATAATCCACATAAATAAAATCGAACGATAAAAGAATTTGTTAAGCACATAGTGCCGGTGATTCATCCAGTATACAGTAAATAGATAAATTTGTTTGATCGATAATGGTCGGTTTCCAGAGGTATTTCGATTTTATTTCTTTTATACTTTCCTCACATGAATACATCTAACAAAATCTAACTAAACGAATATATTCAAGCTTTTTTCATTCTACTTATCGACTTTTTTTTCTTAGCAAAGCGTCTTATTATTTGTTATAGAATATATTTTTGATATGACATAATGTATGGTCCTAAACAAGATTTTTTTCAATGAAGTTCTAACTCAGCTTCATATAAAGAGTGTATATATATAGATTCTTTTTAAACATGCCATTTTTTCTTTTCTTCTTTTTATTTGGTATCATCTGAAAAAACGAACTTAAAAATTAATTGATTACTTGTTTTTTCTTCTTTAAATATCCAATGGCATTTATTGTTTTTTTTTTTGTTTTCTTTTTTGTTTGTTTTTTGTTTATTTGTTATCGTTCTTAGAGTGATGTTTATTTGTTTGCATGCAATATTTTTAGCATTTATGTGCACATACAGTGCTGTTCAAAATTATAGAATCATCTACTATATTGAACGTTAAATATGTCCCCAGTACGAAGATTTGAATATGTTTCAAGATGAAATGCATAGAATGGAGTGTGCTCTTTGAGAAAGTTTAATAGCTTGCTGGGTGTTAGAGAAAACAAACTTTTAACAATAAGTTCAGTTTTTTCCTGTTCAAAATTATAGAATTATTGCACTTCTTTCTTTCCCTAGTGAATGGTCACTGAATTTTATCTCTACAGGAATAATAGCAAAGGATTTTTTTCTCTCAACTCTGTTACCCGTTTTTGATTAAATTTTGATAGTTTATAAAATAATAAATCGTCAGAAACCAATTATCTTTATCGGCTTAATCGATTCTTTGCTTTTGGTGATAGTAGTTCTCGGTCGAAAGAACTGCTATCCATTCTTCTAGAACTGGAACTGTTAGCTACTGTCTATTAGATAATTTGTAGAAAAAGTGATTGGAAAAGTTAATAGACTTCTTCTCTTATAACGTGCTGACTCATTGGAAAAGAATTATAACTGTTAGCTCCTTAATCCTTGGAGAAAAATCTTTTAAGTTTTATATTTGCAGGCGAGTTGCCTATTACAACAACGTCGCTAGAAAGAACCGTTTAGCGTTATCATCAAAAAGTGTAAAATTTACAATGTATTTGAATGATAAATTAAAAGATTCTCTATGAATAATGATTTTATTTTGTAAAGTTGTTATTTGTAGTTCACATCTTTAGTCATGTCGAGAATAAGAGGCTTTATGCAAATAACGTTTTGTTGTTCCACTAGTATATTTCTTTACTACGCTTTAGTCTTTCAGTCTCTCTTGTCTTTCGTTTGTATTCTGATGTTTTACTAACAGCTAAGACTTTGTGTTGTATAAGCAAAGTAATAAGTAACTCACCGTAAATGTAAAACTTCGAGACTTTTCTCTAACTGGTAACGGATTAAATAGAACACACGTTTTTTGCGTATAAAGATTGTTTTTTAAACAATACAGACTCGTGTGTAGAGTGGAGGGATATTTAAAACTGAGATACAAAAAAGTTATCACTACTTTAATGAGTATTAATTAGGTTTTTACTTTGATATTAGTAATTAACACATTCAGCTACCTGTATCCTGATGAAACTTAAGCACAATGCGATAAAAACTTTCTTGGCGTTTTTTGAGAGGACTGTGCGTGAAAGTTTTTACGAAAATGTTTTCGATTTCTGGTAGATTTAAGCACAAAATTTGTTCAATTTAATGCTGATTGTCATTGCACAGAAAAAATCGTGGCAAAAAAACGATTTTATCGCTATTCATCGTATCTAACAGTATCTAAGCAACTTGTATGTATTTAACATTATCAAACATTTCTTGTCATAAAACATTTGATCTTGTTCATTATTCATTTTAATCAATTTAACACCCTATGTGACCAACATGAGCGATGACGTGCACACTTTTCGCCAACAATCATTAGCAGCATTTGGGCAAGTAATATTTATTTTATCCATTTCTTCTAATAATTGCGCTGATCGTCTCTAGTATATTTCTATCAGCCGGTAATTTTGTATGCTTAACACCATTAAATCCTTGCATAGCAAATTCATACTTTTT